CTCCTTCTGGCAGAACAACACTCCCTACCAACTTGGTGTTATCGGCAAACTTACTGAGGGTGCACTCATCCCCTCATCAAGATCATTAATCAGGATGTTAAATAGAAGCGGACCTAGAACAGAGCCCTCAGGGACAATGCTCGTGACTGGCCTCCAACCGGATTTAACTCCACTGACCACAGCTCTTTGAGTTCAGCCATCCAGCCAATGTTTCATCCAGCAGAGCGAATGCCCATCCAAAACATGGGGCAGCCAGCTTCTCCACGAGGATGCTGTGGTGGGCAGTGTCAAAGACTTTACTGAAGACCACTTCAACAGCCTTACCTTCATCCACTAAGCAGGTCACCCTGTCATAGAACGAAATCAGGTTTGTCAGACAGGATCTTCCATTCATAGACCCATACTGCCTGGGCCTGATCCCGTGGCTGACCTTTAATTGATCCATGGTGGCTCACAAGATTATCCGTTTCACGACCTTCCTTGGCACCAAGGTGAGACTGATAGGTCTGTAGCTACCAGAATCATCTTCCTGGCCCTTTCTGAAGATGGTCTTCATATCTGCCAGTCTCCAGTCCTCCCGGACATTCCCAGTTAGCCAGGACTGTTGAAGGATGATGGAGTGTGGTTTGGCAACCACATCCACCAACTCCCTTAGCACTCCAGGATGCAATCCATCTGGCACCAAGGAGTTGTGAAGTGTCCACGTTTCAGAGCAGTGTCCAGCTTTTGCCTTTGCCTTTGCCTTTGCCTTTGCCTTTGCCTTTGCCTTTGCCTTTGCCTTTGCCTTTGCCTTTGCCTTGAACTAGGTCATTATTGGAAAGATTGGTTTTTTTTTGTTTGGTTTTTTTTTTTTTTTTTTTTTTTTTTTAAGGATGATATTTTATTTCTATTCAGTGTGTAAGCAATCAGAAATGTTTTACTAGTGAAAAGATAGAGCACATAATTTGGAATTGATATCTGATTTATTTTATTATGATTACCTGGAATAACTTTTGCCACAAGATTTTGATTTAAATCTCTCTAATACTACTGATTTAAAGGTGACTTTAACATTCCTCTGCAGAAGCTCTTTGTGAACAATAAATCTATTTTCTCTAACAGCAGCATAGTGTCTTAGTCTCCTACATGAATGAGATTGTAAACCAAAGTCCTATAGAAATATATCTACGCAAAGATCATTCCCAGTGTAGTATTTTTACAGCACTACTAGTAACTGTATAATTCATATGGTATGGTCTGCTCCAGTCTTGGATAAAAGAGCTAAATATTTTAATTTAAGTGAATGATTTTGCTAGGTATCACAAGTTCAATCCCTGCTGGTGTTATGCTGCCATTATGTCTAAAATGTACTGTAAGCTATTTCTGTTTGTGTGTATGAACTGAGCAAAGAACAGCGGTAATGTGCTCGGTGTCAGTGCATATACCATGACTGAGCGCAAAATAAATTATTTTCTTCAGATGGTAGAGGCCAAAGTAAGAAGTTAAGTTTTATTTTGCTCAGGATTTGAATGACGGTACTATAAATCATGGTATAAAAATAATAGGCTGATCCTAAATTCTTGTACTGGATACAGAGATTGCCTTCATAGCCCAGAAGTAGTGCAGATTGTAGATTTTTTTTACAACTATTGTTATTGTTATTATAAATAGTCATGTGTTATTACCTAAACCCTGATGGTGGAGCAACAATTTGACTAATTTTTTTTTCTTACAATAATGTCATTTAGATACAGTTAAAATAGTGTTCTGTTTTAAGTTATTGCAGACTGTAACATTTAATTTGACTGAAAAATGTGCTACTTGTCTTTTAAAGAATAAGAATGAAAGATTGTAAGGGATTTGAAGATAATGTGGAATTGCTTAGGAAGTAATTTTTGGGCTTCTACCTGTATTTTGCTACCAGTTAAAATCTCCACAAACATTCAGTTATTTTTTTCCTGCATCTGAAAATTTAGCAGTGTGAATTCATTTTTGTATGGAATTATATCTAATAGAATGTCTATAAACCTTGAACATGCATTGGGTTTTATTTCAGTGAAATACTTATTTTATCGTCAATAGTCTTCTCAGGAATCAATTGTCAGTGTGCATGTCTGTTACATGGAAGGAAACAATTTATACATCTTCAGCACCTAACATCCTTTATAAACATTCCATGTGATTTTTTGATAGCAAGCAAAAGCATGACAGGTGAATGCAGAAGAGAATATTTGGGGAATTTTCATGATAATATTTACTCACTATATGTAATAAGACTCCAAAGTCACTGTAAAGAACTGCAATGTTACAGATATTTCAGAAAGTTGCAGCAATGCACAGTGCATGCTAGATATAACATATTGACATAACTAAGTATAATACAAAGTAATCTATTCTCTGCATTGATCTGCTCCTTGAGCTTAACACTGTTGAACAATCAGTGTTCAGAACAGCAGTTTGTGAAAAGAACTTCCCAGAGGATAAACTAGTGAAAAAAAAAAAAAAAATTATTATTATCTTTTGCAAAGGGAAAAAAGCATGAAAAGTCTCTGTCCTACATATAGTAAATGTGCTGCCCACCTGTGTCAGTTTTTGCACATAAGGTAACCCCTAGCTTTAACTTTGAATCCTGTGTATTCTGAACTACAGTCAAAGTCTCAACCAGTTGTAGAGCAAACGAAAGTAATGGACAGAGCCTTTATTTGAGAAATAGGTGCCATAGGAAAAGATATCCAAGAGGAATTAACTCACCCCTCCTGGTAACAGTTTAGAGAAAAGGGTGAGCAGAGGAATGTGACCCTATCTCGTTCGTACCATTGGGCTGCAGCAGAGAACGGCAGGGGGAATGGGGACCTGTGCAGACTCAGATGGGACGTGAAATATCATGGAGACAGAGGGGTGACTCTAAACCCCCCGTGCTCACTCCAGACAGTCACGTACTCGTGAAGCTCACCCACTGGTTCAGGCTGAGACCTTGAAATTCCACTACAACAGTTAAATATGAAAACACTGGCAGCATTCTTGAACAGAAAAATTAGAAAGATTTCTTTATTTAATTTCAGTACAGGAACTGTTCTTCTAGTTCAAAGGCATGATCCTTTGTCAATTGCTTGTGGCAGAACAGAACTCCTGGGAGAACCAACTCAATAGCAAGAAGCAGATCAGATGAGGGAGAATCAATGACAAGCACCACTGGTCCTGCAAATTCCATTTTGTTAAGAGAAAGGAAAATTGGCTGTGACAAAACAAAAACACATTTTTTAAGGAAAAGAGAATTTGTGAAAATACAGATACTGTTCTCTTTGATTGGAACTGGATGTCAGCATACTGTAAACAATTATGAGTCAAGTCATGCTGATTATCTCAAAATGTAAAAAAGGGAGGTTGAATGAATACAGAATTATCCTCCATTGCTCAGTTCTAACAGGAAGTTAGAAGGGCTTTGAAAATATGGTGTGATTAAAGCCTACTTCCTGTCTCAGAATCCATAGCAGTGCACCAGAAATGTCAGCACCATTTCAATAATTGTAGAATTACTTCCTCTTCACATAATTAGAGCATAACTATCTGTGCATAAGTGATTCTGTGACCTGAGCTACTTCTTTGAATCTAGCACTTCTCCACGGCTAGAACAGTGTGTGCTGTTTTTTATATAGCGTTGAATTAAATTGAAACTCCTAAGTTGCAAGTCCATTTTTCTTGCTACTTTTTGTAGACTGATGTTTCTGAAAGAGTTGGCATATATTCAGCTATCAGAAGTGGAAGTAAATGTCAGAGGAAGCTAGTAGTACTGTCGACTGCAAGACTGAAATGTTCACCACTGCATGAAAGTTCCCTGACAGCAACCGAAAACCAAGCCTTATGAATATGCAGTTCCTGTGCCACTCTTAAATGATGGTGCTATTTGAAAAGTTCTAGCCTGACTTTAAGATGTTATGGGTATCATTAGGATAATTTACAATGTAGGTGCCAAAAATTGTCTCCACATTAAGCTACCTCTCAATCTGTTTTCCACAAATTTTTTTTCTTTGCTGTAGGCATCACAGGCGAGACTGAATTGGGAAGTAAAAGCGCTGCTACTTTGGATCCTCAACCAACTCCTGGGGAGAAAAATACAGGATAATATCTGCAGGTTCCTTCTGCATCTGCCTGGGACACTGGCAGCACTGCTGAAGACACTCAGACAGCAGTTAAAATTCAAAACATGAAAGTAAGAATGAAGTCTTTACAGAAGTTTTTGTCACTAAATTCAGAGAATTATTCTCAAACCTCTACGACAAGAATATTTTCACTTTGTGATGAATAAAACATGCAGCAAACACTGACTTCTTTCACTGTGCCTCAGGTCTTTTCTAACACTGTAAGTGAGGCACAGATCTTATATTTCTCAGGAAGAGAAAGGAGTTACAGCTGTATCCAAACTTAGAAAAGGCTTTGGCTAGTAAAATTCCTCCTACCATGTATGTGTGGATTAATAGATTTTAGAGAGAGATTTTAAAGAAAAACAGTATGTTTTATGGAATGATACTACTTCAAGAGTATATCAGTCACTTCAGTCAGCTGTAGTGTCACACCATAGGTAAAAACAAAGACCCATCTGCAGAGCAAAATCGAGATTAAGTGAAAAAGTTTATTGGATTGTTTTAATACTGAAATTCCATTTGGCTTTAAGTTGTTTATAAAATACTTCGGTTAATCATGTTTGAAATGTGATATTTCTACAGAAGGATGCAGAAGTGAATAAGCTTGAAATGTCACTGAGATGACAAAATGTTGGGACGGCCTCAAAGAAGCAAATGAATCCTTAAGAAAACAGGCAAGAGGAATTATTTCGTGCAATCAGTTACTGTATCAGTCTGAGTTAACACTGCTAATTATCTGAACCGGATGTTTGCAAAAATTGATGATTTGGTTTCTCCAATACAGGGATGGTGTGATTGCGTATAAATACTCTCTCTGTTTCTGAATTCTTTAGGCATTTTTGGAGTGTGTTCTTTTTCGCCACTTCTTTATGAAAAGAGTAGCGCAGTTGTTTATTAAATCACTTTGCTGCTCAGCAACTCCAATTTCAGAGTGTTGTTTACAAAAAAAAAAAAGTGTTTTCCATTCACTGATATTTTAGTATTTTTCAATTCTTTCAGTTAAATGATGAGTTGTAGAGAAGAAGTAATTGAATGAACAAAAAAAAAAGGACAGGAGAAGTTTGTTTCAGCTATCTGGAAGTAAGGTTTTTTCTTATTTTGCGTGCTTCCTTTGTAGGTAACAAGTAAAATAGAATTCACTGTTCTTTTTTGTTGTAGTGGAAACATCAGTTTATAATGGCAGAGATGTATAAGGATACCTGTGAAGTGGTACAACAGATAACACCTTTCATGCAGGAAGAAGTGAGGGCAGCATCAAAAGGGGATAAGGTAAGAATTGGGCAAGGTGAAAAAATCACTCACAAAAGCCATTCAGCAGTGGAACCTTCTCCATACAGCTGTTGAAATAAGAAAACGTAGCTGCTACTTCTTTTCATTCTAATAGTTAATTAGTTACTGTGGGCGGTACTCGGTGTGGGTGGTACGTGGGCTAAGGTGTTGTGAGCTGGGCTGGGATTGTGTGGAGGTTTGCAACAGTTACAGAAAGAATAGAGGAGGGAAGCAGATAGTAAATGGAAAGAATAAAGCTTGTTGCTAAAATTGTCCTTGGAATTTTATATTGTGTATCTACTTTTTATTTGTTTCCTGTGTTTTCCTCTCATTCTCTCATCTGTCAAAATTAGACTCTGCTTATACTCCTCCTTTGTGGTTATCCATGCTGCTGTCTAGTTTGCTTACAAGAGAAGATCTCTACTAACTAAATAAGTTCACAGGAGAACTCCCTGCTGCCCTTGGCACAAAGACCGGTCCGTGCAGGTTGTAGCATGGTCACCCGCACCAGTGGGAGCTGTCTGCAGACTCCTTTTAACAGGAGCTGCCTGTATTTCTCCCATAGCCAGTGGGGACTTCTCAATCCCTGGATACAAGGCCCAGCAGAGCAGGCACGGCCTGTTCCACATTACTGTTTCTGCAGAGATAATGTCTTCTATGGGCTCCCGGTAACTTCTGTCCTGAGCTTTGTCTCATTAACCATTAAATGATGCAGGATTTGTCAGAACTAATGTGCTCTGGCATACATGTCTGTCTGCTAGTGTTTTGGTTTAGAAGATCATCAAGGTGAAAGCTGAAATAACTGATGATGTGAATATATTACAGCTACCACCGAACTCTGAAGTTTATGGGCTCCTGACTGTCCTTATGGATTGGATCTTAGATGAGCTCCTTAGCAAACTCAAGAAACAAGAAGAAAGAGAGGAAGGCCAGAAACCTCAGTGTAGCAGAAGAACCTACATCCAGGAAAGTGTTTGAAGGTAAAGGGACTTGAGTTTGCTCTGGTTCATGTGTTTTCAGATTCACGTATATACTGACTGATTTTATTGTGAGAGTAGAAAAGGTCAGCCTGTTTTGTATAGACCTGGGATAGAGCAATGAAAGCAGAATGACAGTTACTAAGTCAGTATTAATCCCAGCAGTCAGATGGAATGGCTGCATTGTCACTTATAAAACAGAGCCGTCGTTTTGAAGAAGTGTCATGTTCAGTCTCAACTTGCAAGTTTCAGCCTGTCTTTTATTACCTGTGGTTTTTGCCAGCTGGTGATTTATCTTGTATGTTGTGTGTAACACTGTATAGAATTCATGTTTTCCTACAGAGATTCTCACACCTAATTAAAAATGTTTTAATGTCTACGTTGGATGTCAAAGTTTCAGATAATGACTCATAACAGATGATGCTATGCTCTACTGAAAGCCCTTCCTTCCATCTCTCTGGGGATAACAAGGCTTGGAAACCAATGTGGTATTCTTTATTGCTTTCCTTCATTCTGTGCAGTTTGTAGGCACTGACATTGGCCTTGATAGTTGAGTTCACACACCGTACCTCTGCTTTGCATGCAAACCTGATTAAAACTTAAAATCTAAGTAAGGAGGTAATTCTTTTATCTCTAGAGGACCGACCAGTGAGTGTTCGCATATGCAATCTGACAAACTTCAGGAGTAATTTGAGATTTTGGTTTGGTTTGTTTGGGTTTGGTTTTTGGAGTCTTGTTTTCACTTGTAGCCTGCTCACATGCTAAGCTGACATTCTGCATGTAACTTCACCTTTGTGTGTTTTTACAGCTTCTGCCTGTGGCTGCAGAGCAGCTCCAGTGCATGTCGTTTGTGAATCCTAAACTGCACATGTCCCTGATGAGACTGATATACTGGTTTGTAAGGCAGCTAGACAATGATACTAAGGTAAATTCTCTGCAGATATTCAGGCATTTTGTCTTTTAAGTACACATAGAAAGTGGACATTTTTAGGGTGTATGTATAATAGAAACCTGGATGTCTTTGCTAAACATCAATTTGTAACAGAGAAATGGAAAAGTATGGCAAAAAAAAACTTCTCATAAATGGAACTTTCTGAGATCATTTTATTGATTTTTGCATAGTCTATGAAAACATATTTTTATGTACGTATGCAATCGCTGTTGCAGTAGTATCTAAGCATCTCAGGAAATACATTTTTATAAATATGCTTAGCAGAGTTGGCAGTTAGGAAAGGAAACACATTTTTGTTTACTTTATGTGCGAGATTAGCTGAAATTGATGGCAAAGTGTGGCAGAGCAGCATGGAAACTTTGGCTTTGTCCTCTGCTTAATGTTCCATTGAATTCATTGTTTTTCTTGACAAGGAGAAGCTATTTTAAATGATCACAGTGTAAAGTTTGATGAAAATTTGAATTACTGTACCTTCCCTGAATGGCGTTCTGAACATTCATGTTTAGATCTGCAAACGCTTTTGCAGCTCGTGAATTCAGGCATCTGCACAGGGCAGCGTAGGTAGCACTGATTGAAATGGGGTTTCCTCTGCAAGCAGGGGCAGCTCAAATGAAGTCAGTATATCACGGGCCCTCTTTCCCTAGTCTCTGTGCAGTTAGTGTTGATAAGGCCCTGTGCTGATGGCATTCAGTTGCTTTTGTAATGCAAGCAGTATCTTCTGTGCAGATTCTGTTGTGACACACGATCAACAATTTGGTATTTCACACGTAATCTTTAGGGGAACAGAGTAGATGGGAGCTTCGTGTGCTTTCATGTTTACACTCAACATGCACACTGCTTGATTCAGGACCCAACAATGACAGAAATTATTATGAGACTTGCTGAAGATATTTTCACAGGCATAAGGAATAATGGAGATGTGCACAGTTCTTCTAGCCGCTGTGCAAAGAGTGAATCAAAATCAGCACTCTTCTTTACAAGTCCTTTTATGCCTATGAGGTTTCTGTCAACTATGGTTGTGCTTACAATAGAGACACCAGGTAAGCTCTGGGTTTTACTGAATCTTTTCATTATGATTCTATGATTCTGTGATTTTTTTTTTTTTTTGTTTTTTTTTTTTTTTTTTTTTTTTTTTTTGATCCCTTTTAGTTTTTCCTTTTAGTTTCTCTCATCTGTGTTTTTTTTTCCAGGCGTGTACCTGGACAAAGTCCAGCAGTTCCATGATACCATAGTGTCCATGATGCTTTCCTAGTGAACGGAGTTTCACTTGCATGATACTTCTGCCGTTATAGATCCATGGACAGATAGATCACATAGATGTGTGGTGTTCATGGGTACGTCTGAGAAAACCAGTGGTGGAATAGCACATTGGGCTTCAACATATATCCTGCTTCCCTCGAGATGATCTGCTTCCCTCAGCAGATGGCACTGTAATTAAACTTTTGCCACCAGATAAACTTTTTTCCTTTGTACTTTACCAGGTGATCAGTGCTATTCCAAGATACTGAGAAAGATTTCACATCAGGAGATTAAGAAGATTTGATTGTTTCCCTTGACCTAATATCTTTGCATCATTTAGTGCACTGCAGAACGAATGGACGGCTGCATGAAATACCTGCAGCAAAAGTTAAACTACAGCTTTGGATGGAAAGGTAGTAGGAAAGGTAGTAGGAAACAGTAGCTGCTGTCCTGAAAGTCATGGCTCTTATTCAGATGAATGACCCTTTACTCCCTCAACAGAGGCTTCCCAGATGTTGAAGCCTACATGGTCTGAAACTATCCAGTTTCCAACTTCTTTTCACTCTTAAGGAAGATACTGGAAAGGTTTTGTGTTTTCTTTGGTGTGCAAGTTGTAGCTGGCCTTTTTGTCCACTCCCAACTGTTTTTTAAGGAAGAAGATGAGGCAGAGGATGTCTTTAAGGTTAGAAACATTCATTATCATTTCAGCCATTGGACTTTTTTTTGGTGGTATATATTTGTTTAAGTAATTCTGAGGATAAATATTCACATATTGCTTATCAGAACTGTGACTGTAAAAATTGTATTGCTTGTTTTCTACTCTCTTTCAGTGAACTACCTGGAGCAGGCATTCTGCTGTGATACTGAGATCGGTTTTATAGCAGACCCCCACTTGTCTCAGATCAGGTCCGTGTCCATACCAACAGAGGTACCTCAGAACTGGCTGCTGCTCACACATATTTCTAAAAAGCAAAAGCTTTCACAAAACAATACAGAAACCTACCACAGCTCAAGGAGACGCTGCAGAACCACCTCTATGAGAGACCTCTGTGGGCTCATCTGCTGAACCCATCAGGAAACATCTCAGCCAGCTGCAAATGGCATTCCCCAGGCCTGCTGTGCTGTGCCAAAGGCTGCACAGTCTTTACCAATTCTGATTTCAGATCTACCTTAAACTTGGATTCTGCTTTTTGGGACATGTCTGGTTTTGTGTTCCTTCAGCTCAGAGGGGTTACCCTGACATCTGCAAGACCCATTGTTTTGGGATTTGCTGCCGTTCCCAGGGAGTCATGCAGCATCGCAGCAGCTAAGCTCCAGTCCCTTCCCCAGTCTCAGTGGGATCAGTCCCTGTGCTGACAGAACTAACTCCACTGTGGTGCAGAAAGTGCCACTCCTTTATTCCTCGCAACATGCACCAGGTGACGTGACAAGCAAGCGCACCCTCTCAGAGTTCAGGATCGACATTTGAACAGTTCTGACATGCATATGCAGTTCGTTGGCATACAAATCCATTCTTTTTCAAGGACTCAGATATGTGCTAATGTGCCTTTGGATGCCCAGTGCTACATAGGGTGGTCGGCTGCCCACCTATTACTTCCCATTTCCCACCATCAGCTTTACTATGGGACCTCTGACCCGCTGCCATCCACTTTCCCCATTTGGAAGATTCCCATTGATTTTTAGGACACAGTGAGCCACTTTTCAACAACAGTGCATGTGGAGCCCGAGGGAAATGTCCTTGCACCGCTTGAGGCAAAAGATTTTTATTCTATTATGTCCCCAGCACAAAATTATTGAGGAAAACAAGATATTTGCCCACTCAAGCTGAAATGTAAAGGTTTCAGAACTATCACTCGTGGATTCCTTTTGCTAAACTAGTATACAGGTTCTTAAACTAATGGACTAATCCTACTGGTAAACAAACCAACTTATATCAGCAGAGAGTAGAACAATTCAGATGTTTGCTGTGATCTCTTTTGTCTAAAGCTTCTTCTATGGAGGTTGTGGCATTATGAACAGTAATACATTACCCTCTGGTTAGATCTAACATGCCACGTGCATTCTGCTAAGTCTTGAGTAACAGCACATCAAGCAGTAACTGCTGTTGCAATGCCACTTTCAGTACTTGCGCCTCTTGTGAGTTTAACTCTTCAAAAGCATGTCTTGTCTAATTTGACAACATGTGGACTTGCTAGGTAGTGTTTTCAAAGATCTTTTGATGTTTTGCCCAGACCATATCTAGAGCAAATATGTTCTCTCATATCATAGAGATTCTCTGTCCAGCGGTCATCTCTGAACTGAACTAACACTCAATTTGGGCAGAGTTTTTACAGATTACTGTACCACACTGCAACTCTGCATGTTGCTCTAAGGTTAAATACAAATAGAATTTTCCACTTGACCATCTCCAAAGCAGTCCAAATGGTTCAGAATAAAAACTGATTTGGCCAGTTCACATATTGATACAGTCTACAGAATTTTCAGAGAGCAGTGTGTATAGGATGGCCCACAATATAAACTACAAGAAGGGCAACCCCAGCACATACACACCTCTTATCGAAGCTTAGACGCTTTCCATCAACCATGTGTCGAATGGAACTCATGGACTGGTGTAACAATTAATGACTCCATGACACCACATCACGTTGCAAAGGGCTTGATGATGGGTTTCTTCTGTGACCCATTTAATGGATAGTAGATAGGTCCTAGGTTCATTTCCCAGTCTGTTAGGCAGTTGGATATACCACGGAGGAATCACATGCAAATCATCATCAGGTTGATAAAGGGAGTGAACGAAAGGGTCAAAAGGAATGGTACCACAGTGCTGGGAGTGATGGTGAGCCAGGATGACCTGCAAAACCTGTTTGTGTTGACCCAAGTGTGAAGTTTAACAAATCTGAGAACTGACATCACCATCTACAATCACCCAAACAAAATACTATTAAGAAGCACACAGACCTAGCTCTGGTAAGCAATCAACGGCAAAGCCAGCTGCCAAGGATTAATGCTTGGCATGTGAATTCCGATGAAATAAGATAGGAGTCTGGGTTGGTTGGTTTTTTTGTTTGGTTGTTTTTTTCCTTTGTGTGTGATTTCATAAGTTTGTTTTTTAAATAATCCTCACTTTATTTAAAAAATAATTTAAGAATTACCTCAAGCTTCAACTTTGTTAGGCATGGCACTATTGAACTTCCGACTCCAGATAAGCTTATTTTAGCATTTTTATTTCACAACTCCATGAACAGCACAATTCCAGTCTAAGAATTATTCCTTTTGCACTACTGTTGGGAAAAAAAAAAAAAAAAGAAAAAAAAAAGAAAATGCTTTATCAGTAGAAATTCCTCAATTACATTCCAAAAGGGAATTTCATAGTCATTAAACATTTGCTCAGATCCTCTTGATATATCTCATAAAGAAGGATCATTGGGACCCAGCTCCATTCTAGGTATTTCCATTAGTCTACTTGTGGCCCTGTTTTGCTTGCTCGTGACTCACACTCTGAAGAATTTGCTTTTTCAAAGTGCCATACTTGGGCTTCAGAGATGCTCTGCTCAGGAAAACACATTTCCATTTCAAGAACAAACACTCTCATCTTTTTAAGTTTAATAAAAGCTTTAAAACCCAATGAGATGAGAAAAGCAATGCAAACTGTGGCAACACAGTAACACCAGGGTGCAGATTATCTTCAAACATCAAGATTTCATGGGCTCATTTCTTGTTGACAGTACAATGCTCGTACGTTTCTTAAAATCTAACCAACCAGCTTTCCCTCGATCCTGCAAAAATGCATGCACAGATTGATCTACAGCCTCATTTCATATAATGGATATTCATATAATGGATATTATATTTCATATAATGGATATCTAAGGAAAACCAGGCCTTTATTTTTATCCAGTTGCTTGTCAGGGGGATCAGAACACCTGCCTATGGTAAAATACCACATAACATGCAGCGATAATGCCCAGGCTGTCTGCCACAGAGACTCTTGCAACCTTCTTCCCTGGTGGTCAATTTGCAAATACTCTGGACTGTTTGTTGCTGTAAAGAAACTGCAACAAAACCAGTGCATCCTGAAACCATCAGATCTATTGGGAACCAGCTGAGCTGGGACTTCTCCAGGAAAAGTGGTGGCCAGGAAACACCAGCATCTTAGCAGCTATTTCATTTGGCCCATGCTCCCTGCATCTTGCCCAGAGGGCTCTCCAGCACGGAGCAGCAGGGAGTAGAAAGGAAGTTGAGTTGGTCAAATTTATTGAAATGATACCATAGAATAAATACGTATCAAACTTCTAAATCTTGTTTTACTGACAAACTTTATTATCACTGGGCTGTCATGTGAAGAAAAACACCTTAGATTAGCTTTCAAGTACTCACTGGCATCAAAGTTCTTCCTCTTTATGTAAATCCTTTGAAGGTCCTGAGGCAAACACAGGAGCAAAAACATATAAATAAGAGAACCAAAGCAGCTCATGGAGTGGCACTGCAGACTGCTGCTCAGGCCAGCTCCCGTACACCCTTCCCATGCAGCGCAGTGAGGCTTCTCACAAGGAGATCAGCCTTCCAAAATGCACAGGAAATCAACAGAACAGAAAGGTCAGCCACAAAATTCAGCAGTTGCTGGAAGCAGAGTTGTCTTATCTTTCACAATTGCTTGAAATGACATACATTGCTCTTCACACATGTCCAGTGATGGTGACTTACGAGGAATACAGGAGCATCAGCAATCACACCCAGCCCATGGCATTGAGTGGAACAGCCAAGGGCAAAGCAGAGGCTGGGGCAGCGTGACAGCTCATCCTTGAGGGGACTGAGGACTTCCCTCACAATTTTCCACAAGTTAACTGCACAAAAAGGAGCAAACAAGTGAAGGAAGCCAAGCAGTATTTTATTGACTCCCACAAGACAGATATGGATTGCATACAACCCTGGAAAACTTCTTACTTTTTAAAATCCTGGAATTATAAACGAGAGAACCCATTCCTAATAAATAACCTGGCACCATTCCTTCATCAAAAGATTGTGACATGGAACAGATTTCCTTTACAGTTTCATTAAAATTATTCATTCGAACAGCTTAAAAAACTATGCCTATAATAATACTTAAATATATTGCTCATATTTGTGACTTAGTAAAAAAAATAGTTTGAGCTAATACTTTCCTAGTGTTCAAAAAAATCCAAAGAGAGATCAACGTCTCATTGAGTAATTCAGAAAGATGGGTAAGTTATTTGTTTGAAATTATAAACAGACCTCATTTATCAACAGACTGAGTCCCTTAAAAATGTGTGTCTCACTTATTAATGCTAATGATCCCACAAAAATGTACACAGAGCAACCAGCTTTCCCTCAATCCTGCAAAATGTATGCACAGATTTATTTACAGCCATAAAAGCATTTCTGCAACATTCACAAGATGGGACTGATTTCAATAGTAAAAGCTCAAGCATTTGCAAATTCTGACCAAAAATCATTTGATTACTTTTAGCTTTAGAATAAGTCAGTCTGAACCTCAGTGAGATGACAATGGCAAAGGCCCAGACTGCATTCAGAAACTGTTGCCCTCCTGCTTCTTGGGGCTGGCAGAGGCCATGAGAGCACTCCTCGTTGTAATGCAGAAACAGACAGTACAGCTTAAGCTGCCAACAAAGCTGAATCAACACAGCCTGCCTACTACAGCGCACATTTGTTCCACTGGCACCTGGAAAACTTGGTAGCCTCTGGAAGCATCAGTCTTTTCTGAAGGGATCCATGGACTTGCTTGCCTTCCTGCAGTGCTTGCTATTATCCATACTACCATCAAAAGCACACCAATTGCGTTTCCACGCACCACTGCCAAGACACTAATCCAGAGGCTGAAACTAACACACTAGTGATTTATCAGGCCTGACCTTTTTTGAAGTTGAAAATGGGTTCCTACTTGGGAAATAACAAAGCAGCATGTCTCCTTGACGTTCATGATAGGCCAGAAGTGCTTTCTACAAAGTCTCCAGTGGTCCAAGTAGTCGGTAACCCCCCAAGAGATGCTTGGTCTGAGGTACGGTAACTTCAGTGACAGCTTCAGAAGGCAAAGGCTTTAGCCATAGGGCTGGCTGCAGAATTCCTTTGCTCCACTTCACTTCCCCCACAAATGTGCCAACACAACCCAAAGCTGCATCTCTGACCCAGTGCAGGTCTCAAAACAACCCTTGACTTCAGAGTATGGCCCAGCCCATGGATCTGATGTCCTGGGCAGCGCAGGCAAGAAGTGGGGATTAGACACACTTGGCTTGGGTTTTGTGTCAGAAACTTCTGTGTCAATGAACATCTCCTTCACTGTTTGCAAAAGAATGATGATCACCAAGGGGCTTTCCAAAAAGCAAGCATGACACTTGAAAAGGTATGAGCCACAGGATGGGTTTGGACATAGACTTTGGGAGCAGATAACTGGTTTCAGACATTCTCTAATCCACACCTAAATATCATATACTAAAAAGAGTTTTTAATAGTGCCTTTAGTACAACAGCTAATCAAACAAATCTCAAAATATTTTCTTTCTATTTTACATTTTTACATAAAGCTGAAGTGTTTACATCTTTATGAAGAAGACCTAACTAATTGTCAAAGCAAATTAAACCACATTTAAGAGCAACTTACCCAATTAGTTTCATGAAGACCATCACACATGTAAAGCCAAAAGGTAATGAAAAGGACACAACAACTTGAATGAAAGCAGAAGAGAAGTTTTAACAACCTTTTTGTCCATACAAGAGCTTTTCATTTGTTTTAGAAGAGAACAATTAATGTTCACTGAGTGACTTTTTTTTGGCCATTCAAGCTTAGTGACCTAAAAATGAGCAAATTTTCCTAAATTGTCATGTTGTAATTATTATTGTAACTCTAATGAGTTCAAAGGATATACAAATCACCTACATCTAAACAGAGTTCTGCACATTATAGACTAAACTGCATAACTTACAAATAATCATTTTGTTGTTTCCAGTTTACAATGGTTTAAAAAAAAAAAGACTTCACAATGTGTGTAAATGGGAGGTAAATGTATTTTTAAAACCAGAATAGAAAGCTGCATGTTAAAAATGGGATCATAGACTAATAAATACATACATCAAAGACATGAATTTCTCAGCAGCTGGTTTTAAAGAGCAAGGAAGTGGGGAAAACTACTTGTCCAGACTTCATTCTGGCCCAGTGGTCTAGCTACATGCTAGCAACATCTAGCATGTATAATGATGTAGATGATGCTAGCAACATCTGCAATTCAAAAACAACTTAAAAGAGAAGAATCATCTTCATTCCCTATTTTCCTCTTACAAAATTAAGCTACTTCTTACAAGTGTGGTGTAAAATCTAAATAAATATTTATTTCTTCATGCACTTGATGACATCAAATTAAAAAAGCAATTATTTTAACCCAGAAAAAATGAGTCATTGTATACTGTAAGGACAGACAGCCTTACTGCAGATTTTCTACAGTAAAAGTATTTCTAGAAATACACCAGAAATTACTTTCTCATAACAAAATACACAATTATGTGTCAGATTATCATTGAGTTTCAATACTTAGGCAAAACCAAAACAGTTACTACCAAGCTTTGAAAAAGAAAAAACAGTAAAAAGATGTTTTAACAGGTATGGAGTTGTCAGAAAGCAATGCTGGACACCAGGATTTCCAAAGCGACTCCCCTTCCAAACTGACGTGCAGACTGTGAATTAGACTGTGAGTGAAAACTGATCCTGTTCTATGGGTTTCTCCACCCATGCTCCAAGTCCTGCCTTCAGGAATGCTTTAAATAAACACTCTTTGGCAGTTTGATACTCAGTGGCTCCTTGCTTGGTTTCATGGTACAGGTTAGGCTTGAAGATCTTCAAGCGCAAGCTGGACGAAAGCTGTGCAGATGAAAGAGACAAGAAAAGAAGAGAACAAATGATTTATTCAGACCAACATTTGCAAAGTTATGAGAATAGCAATTAGAAAAGGTAATGAACTACTCAACCAAATATGCAGGCAAAGGCAACAAGCCAAAAGCACAATATAAATTCCAGCCATTCTAGTTCTGTATTCAGTTTCACTGCAACTATCCACACTTCCCCTCTTGCAAGCCATGCCCTCCTGAAGAACCAAACCACATACAGAGACAAGCAATCTTTGGACTTCACTTTTCAGCAGTGCTGTGGTAGCTCCACTACGCTTAGCATGCCTTTAGCTTCTTCTGGATTACCTCTGTCCTTTGGCAGAGAAAATCTAGACACTGAAAAGCAGCTCGTGTATACTATTTGGCTCTTTTCTTTCTAAGGACAGAGTGAAATTTCTATAGGCTGGGTTTCAGTGCAACTGGGATTGTATTTCCAAAGAAATTAAAATGAGAAGGCAAAAGGAAAGGAGGTAAGAGCTTTTGCTTACTTAGCTATAACCAAAGATTATCAGACCCTCGCATGCATTTTGTACCAGGCGTTATATAACTGAATAACCTAAATGAATGTGTTATTTTCCATTACGGTGCAGACTGGTAGCTAATATCAGGCTCAGCTTAAGACAGGTGCAAAAAATAGCTTCTGAATACAGAAAGAAACACATGGAAATGCCATAAAGAATAAATTGGAAGTGAAAAATGTTCCACGCTGGAATATATACCTTTGCATGAACACGCATCCAGCGGCTGTACAAAGCATGCTTACAGAGGCGAGATGCACGCCCCATTTCATCTTTGCCAGTTGTAGCATTAATAACTTCAAGACTACTGTCTCCCACTGTCCAATTTACACTGAAATTTGGTGCTTTCCCTGGTTGGCGTGCTTCTGCATTGCTAATACCTGAAAGAAGAGAAAATTAATGACAACAATAAACACTAACTGCTGATCATTCTTCTTACTAGGCTACTGAAATCATGCCACAAGCAATTCTTCCTTATGGAGACATTCTCCTGCAGATTTTTCACTAAATCATGGAAATACTGCCATGTATATTTCATTCTCATCGTGATTTAAAATCCCCTCTCGCTCTGTCATTCCTAGCTCAGCAGGTAAACATCGGGAGAGAAACAAGAAACCAGCTTTCTCAGCGGAGGATTACACAGAAGACTGTAGTAGAGCTCCATGTGGACAGTGATATTAGCACCTTGCCATGTTAGCCTGGCTTTGGCTGGGATAGAGTTAATTTTCTTCAGAGCATCTGGCACTGTGACGTGTTTGGAACATAGGATGAAAATGACATTGATAATACACCAACGTTTTTAGTTGCTGAGCATTGCTGCGCCAAATCAAGGACAGTTCTGCTTCTGACACTGTTCTGCTAGTGAGGAGGCCAGGAGGCACAAGGAACAAAACAGGACAAAACCAGGAGCTGATATAAGCTGGCCAAAGGGATATTCCATACCAAGGGCGCCATGCTCAGCAATAAAAGCTGCAGAAGCTGGCCACAGGAGCTGCCTTCACTCTGTCCAGCAGGGCATTGGTCAGCTGCTGGTAGCAGCCTTCCTCACCTTTTTTTTTTTTTTTTTCTTTTTAATTTCAACTTATTATTTCTTTCACATTAAACTGTCCTTTTCTCAGCCCAGGAATTCTCCCACGTTTATCTTTCTCAATTCTCTTTTCCACCCTACTGAGGGGGAGTGAGCGGGCCGCCAGGTGGTACTTAGCAGCTTGCTGGGTTAAATGACAACACACAAATCAGGAATATCTGGTCTGGTTTACAGGGCAAACCAATTGATGAGTTATTGACCTGCAAATAACTATGAAGAAGAAATGCTGCTGGAGTACTGCACAGGGTAATCGTTGCCCTCAAAGCCCACTCACTGGCAACACTAGCAGAGTTCCGGACAGCGCAGATCCAGCAAAGCTTCCCTAGCTGTAACTGTCCCATCAATTCCCTTTCACTCTGCTGCTCTAAGAGTTCAAGTAGCTAAATGTATGGTTCCCTATGTCTGCACTTTAAAACCAGTGCAGAATGATGAACCCTTATCATGTCTCAGCACAAACAATTAGAGTTCAGCTAACAGGTTGTAACTGCAATCTTATTTAAAGCAGTCAATCCTATTTAGAAGTGTTTTTTCACTTTCCCTCGTAAAAAAATGGAGTTAGATCAGAGCAGTAGTGTGAGATGACAGAATGTCTTGTAAGCTAAGGCATGAAGGCATCCACATTTCAGTAGCTGTAGAGTATGTTTCATTAGAATTACCATTATTTCTACATAAATACGACTGCCTTCAAAGGTAGTGCAGTGCTGCTTCCATAAATGTTTTACATACAAATGCAAGCCTTAGTGCGTGAAAGACAAGCTGGGAACCAGTAACACTTCTGTTTACTGATTCGTCTTCCTCCTTATAGCTGTGAGAAGAGGAATGACCTTCAGAGGGGGGTCTGACCTCACTCTGGTTCTCATCAGCAGAGGATGTCTCACCTGAGAGCACTTCCTTCCTACCAACTGCACAGGGGCATGGTGCAACTAGCACACACATAGCCAGAGGTGCTTGGGCATCCAAGTTAGACAAAATAAGCCCCAAGCTCAGCATCCTATGTAGAAAGTCAAAACCAGCAGACACTTGATTCTTTTCTCATAAATCCAGCTGTGCTTCAGCTGCCTCTCCACTTCACATGCTCATTACTGCTGAAGATGCCCAGAAACAGCAACTGAAGGACTCCAATCTCAAAGCCCATTTTCTGCATGTCTCAGGAATGCTCTCAACACGTCCCCAGTGCTCTCAGGCAGCAGCCAGGGCCATCAGCACAGCGAGTGGTTTAAGTTTCACCTAAGTTTAAGCACTGTGGAATGGCTGTGCAGCACGGTGGCCTCACACACATTACAGGGACGGCGAAACTTCATATGTCTCAATTTCTCATGAGGAGGGGAGGAGAAAGGGACAGGAGACAGGGGTGTTTTTTTTCTTTTTCTGATAAATAAGAATCCCATTTTTACTTTAATATAACTCTTTGAAAGTTTATTTTGCATCTAGTCTGAGTCTCTGCTAGGACTTACATCTAAAATAATCTAGTAAATTTGTATGATTTCAATATTAGCATTGCGGCAAGATGTGTTTCTTGATGGTATTTGAAATACAACCTAACAAAGTTAAGTCAGCCTAAAGCAGATAAGCACAGGACTCGTTTATTGGCCCTTAAAGCACTTAAAGGTCTTAAAGCATTTCTGGGTTCTGCACCCACTTGTAGGATGCAAAGATGAGAGTATGCGAGAGCTGTGAGGTCCTAGATGCAAAATTACAAAGCAAAATTCAGATAACCAGTTCCTCACTTACTAAATGAACATTTTGAAATATTGGATTTTCTGATACTGACGTGTTTTTATGCTTGGCTTATTTCGACCTTGTCGCTGTCACCAACAGACAGTATGCCAAGGAAATAATAAACAGTCCCACCATTCCACATTTGCTTAAAATAGGAGTTGAAAAAATGGAATTGGAATGACAGTTTCCTTTGTTTTTATTTTCCAGTTTCTTTCAGGTGAGATTGTCACAACTTCTGCTGTTCATTATGAATGGTTGCCAAAAAATCCATGCACCAAGTCGCATGAAAACTGGAGTGGATCATGCACAACTGCTTCTGTGCCACTAAAGACCAAACACTGCAGAGCAAACAAACCCTACTACTCCACAAGTCACATAATAGAAGTTCTACACATAAAAGAACTATTAATTGAGAGCAGAAACAAAAGGAATCTAAACTCTGACTCTCCATATGCATGTAAATTCAGGCTTGTTTTATGAAGCTGATGTGAAACAGTCACTTGCTTAAGGCAGCACATACTGGAGAACTTATCAAACCTACTGAGGCAAGAGTAGGCATGGCTACCACATGAGAAATGAGTCTGTCACATTTTTAATTTAACTTAAAAATATCTGTGCTATTACTTTTTCTTGTTTCATGTGCCACTGAACAAGCACGGTGATCGGATATCGTACAGTCAGTATCGCAAAAAAGGCCTTTTGCTCCTTTTCTTATTACTGTGAAAAAGCAATATTTCCATTTAAAAAACAAAATTCTGCCCTACATTTTCCTTTAGTGAGTGATTCCCTCCCCAGACCAACACGTCCAGAGTGTGAGCAATTCTTTCAGCAAACACTGGAGACAATTTACATTTCTCTACTGCCTTGTTCATGCAGTGGAGGCTGTATAGAAGCGATTTTCAAATAAAGATGGCATTGAATATAACATCCAGAGTGCAGTGTATTTCAGCAGCAGTTACACAACTGCATTTCTTAGGTCATTTTGATGTCATAACAAACAAAAATGACTCTGAATTTCAAGTACACTTAAACGACTCCTTGGTAAGCAGCACTTATCTGCATGAACCGTGGAAAAATGCCAAAGGAGTCTCTGAAGGCAGATCACAGGCAGCATGAAAAGGAAACTAAGGTTGCAAAAGCAAAGCGTCTGACCGTCATTTAGGTAGATCATATCTTCTCTCTCAAGAGCTAGACATGAACGCAACACAATTAACTGAGACTAGTAATGGGAGGGAAAGATAGGATAGAAAGTAGAGTGTTTCATTCTCCTTTGAAAAGTGTTACAACTACAATATTTTAGAGAACATCACTCTGAACTTCTTGGATATTCTTATAACCAGGTCTAATAAGCAAAATCAAAGGTCACCACTTCTTTGGGCCAGCGTGTACATACTAGCAAAGCCTGACAGAGCTCGCAGCAAGTTTCATCCAAAGGAGGTAAGGGGCTAAACATACCAAAGTGGAAGAGATGATAAGTGCCAGGAAACTCCAAAAATCACCTAAGAGTCTGCTGAAGGATTTTTTTTTTTTTTTTTTTGTAAAAAGCAAACAAGCTAATTCCATAAAATTAAAGCAAACACAGTAGTCATTCAGAGAGCTGCTGAAGCATGAATGTTTAAAATCTTCAGAAATTTCTTCCATGGTTGTCAACATCTTATTGAATACAAAATACGAATTGAGTTTTTGCATCTAGACTGTCTGCAAAAGAGCATAGGTACATTCACAGATTGGAGCTTCTCTTCAAAGCAGATGAAATTAACTAAAGATAAATAACTGGTAATATATATGAGGAATTTCCTGCACTCTCAGCTGGAAAACTGCTGCTCTGATATGTATGCTTCCAATTAACTTGATGAGGAAAGGATGCATAACTAGAAAATCTCCTATGAAAAAAGAAAGAACATTTGATGGAAAGATTATTTTTACCAGTAGAGTAGGTAACTTCATCTTAACGCAACTGTCCCTGCAGACACAAAAGTCATCTTGTAAGAGATTAAAAAACAGCTCTTAGAATGTTTTCTCAGCTAAATATTTCCATTTAAATATTTCGGGAGACAGTGAGGAAAGACAGAATGACATAACTGAACAGCTATTTATTTTTTAGTTGACTACATTATTAAAAACAAGTAATGATCCCACAATGGCGCAAATAAGGGAGAGAATGAAATTTGGGAGAGCTACTCCTGCTGTGCTTATTTCCATGTAAGAGTACACTGTGAAACAAGTGAGTCAAACAGTAGATGTGTAGCTACACCTAAGCCCCAGTTGAATCCAACATCACAGATCAGAAAACTAGCTTTCAAGACTAATCCAGCACAAGAAAATCCATCAGACTAATTCTTGTGAGTGTCTCCTCTCAAGCAAGGCTCCTGTGCATTTTGAGATATGCATTTTCATGAAACTCAATAGCTGAGAACACTTCTGAATTCTCTCTACTGCCCAGTGAGTTCTAGCTGAGCTGTTTAAACAGATGATGCTGTGTCATGACAGACAGTCATCTAACACTATTTCAGAACAAAAGATTTGTACAAAGCCAAGGTGCCCTGCTCCAAATTTGCTGTCTTGAAGAATTTCTTAAAATTCCCAGACATCAGACATCAGCAACACTCCACACATCAGCTATTAGGTCAATATAACAATAGAATATTTGGAACTGTGCACGTTGTCTCTATTACTTACTTGCTACTATAAGGATTTACATGTCACTTAAAATTATAGTACGTTCTGGTCCAGAGAATCCTTACGAAATAAATTAAATACATAACAAGCTTCCTATGTTCATTTTTAAAATGTCATGTTTAAAATGTTCATGTTTAAAATGTCAAACTTCAAACATGCTTTAAAATACTGGTTGTTTTTTTTTAACTTTTTTTCCTAAAAAATAAACAGACGTGACAAAAGCCTGGCTCTACAGAACAACACAATACACACAACGACAGGAAGTATAACAGATCTCAGTTTTAAAGCTTTCACAACATTAGTGTAATTAGCTTTTTCTTTAGATTTTAAGACACTTTAGAACTTCACTTTTAACTTACTTAAATTATTATTTTATTAAATTAGTTCAAATACTCTCAGCCCCACTGGAGTCTAGAATCTGTGTGGTGCTAAAGAATAATGCTTGAAGTTTCAACAGCAGCTGCTGGTTACTTGCCAGGGTTGGCTGTTTGGCTGTTCTGCTGTCTGTCAGCTAATACTTAAAAAGGTATAAAAATATTTCTCCAGGACATTCCAGCAGGCTCTAAATGCAGCATTTGTGCATTAACTATGAAGTGAAAATGAAAATATTGTGACAGCTAGGTCAAGCAAACAAGTTGGGTGTTGTGCTAAAACTAATTCTGCAACCAACAGAGATGGATAACAAAATAAAATACAATCAGCGACATCTGAGATTGTCTCTTCATCCACTTTCAGTTGGGTATTGGCTTAAAGATTCTGAGCCAAATATTTTCATCTTGGAAGACTGATAAATGACGTAGCTATTCAATAAATATCTGCAATTGTAAGAGAAGTGAAAATGAGAGCTAATGCACTATCCATAGATGACAAGAGGTTTCATTAAGCCAGGGCCTTCAACTTGCCTCACCTGTTGCTAAGGTACACTCCAGATGGCAAATAGGTGAAAGTGCCTTCAGTTCATACCCTGGCTTTTTTGGCATCTTTTAACTCACCATAGGTTCTTGCTATGGTATCTCTGTCTGTGTATCCCTGCTAGGTTTACACTGTATCTTCTGCTTTGTAACCAGAAACCAATTTACTCACAAGACATATTTCCAATGTTTTGAAAAACTGCAAAATCACAATGCTACTGGAACAGACTTAGTTACCGGTACGGCTCTCTCCATTAGATACTTGCCACTAAGTAAAGGTCTGTTGAGTGTATAAAGAGGTGGTAGATCTTCTATCTCTGCTATCCTCTGGTATACGGCTCTGGATAGATGATCCCCATGATATAAACTCCCCAAGATGATGCTAGAGAAGTAAATTGGCTCCACAAAGAGGCTAAGTAAGGCTCCTTGAATACCCAATACGTTCCACCTAAGAGGGAGGGAAAAACAAAACAAAACAAAACAAAACAAAAAACTTTCTTTTTAATGGAACAAGTAACATCTGCTAGACATAACAGCAGTCAATCACAATGGACCAGACTTTCACAGAATCACAGAATCACAGAATGGCTTGGGTTGAAAGGGACCCCAAGGGCTATCTAGTTCCCTCTGCCACAGGCACAGCCGCAAACCTCCAGATCTGCTACTAGAACAGACTGCCCAGGGCCCCATCCGACCTGGCCTTGAACCACCTCCAGGGATGAAGCATCCACAGCCTCTCTGGGCAGCTGTTCCAGCACCTCAACACACTCTCTGCACAGAACTTCCCTCCGACATCCAATTTAAACTTTCCCTCTTTGTGCTTAGAACCATTCCCCCTTGTCTTATTACTGTCTACCCTTGTAACAAGTTGACTTGACTCCTTTTTAAATACTGGAAGACCGCAAGCAGGTCTCCCCACAGCATTCTCTTCTCCAGGCTGAACAAGCCCAGCTCCCTGTCTGCATAGGGGAGGTGCTCCAGCTTTCTAACCATCTTTGTGGCCTTCCTCTGTACCCTCTTTAACAGCTCCACATTTCTCCTGTACTGAGGGCCCCAGACCTGGATGCAGTTCTCCAGATGTGGCCTCATGAGGGCAGAGTAGAGAGGGACAATCAATCTCCCTGTCCCTGCTGCCCCCCACCCCCTCTGATGGAGCCCAGGATACCATCGGCCCTCTGAGTTGCAAGAGCACACTCATGGCTCATGTTCAGTTTTTCATCCACCAGGACCATAGGGTCCTTCTCCACAGGGCTTTCAACCCTTCCTCTCTTGAACAGAACATGGCTATGGTAACACAGCTATGACACCTGACAGAATTGCAGAGATCAGCTCAGCAAAATCCTGCGCAAGGCAACCAAGGTCTACTGACAGCGTCCTCATCAGGAACAAATTCCATTACCATATTTCCCTGCTAACATGTCTGGTGATTCATTTTGCAGCTGCAGCCTAATCCAAGAGATGAATAGGATCATTCAGTCAGAGAAAGCCAAACTGTAACATCAACATTATGAAAAACTTCCCCAGAAGAGTGACTGGGCACTGGAACAGGCTGTCCAGGGAGTCACCATCCCTGGAGGTATTCAAAAAATGTCTAGATGACCTGGGGACACGGTTTAGTGGGCTATATTGGTGGTAGGTGGACAGTTGGACTAGATGAGCTTAGAGATCTTTTCCAACCTCAATGATCCTGTGATTCTATGATCCTCAGTCAAACAGTAGCTGGTGCCTCCAAGATACCTGACAGCGGACAAACCATTCATCCCACAGTGCAAGGATTGTGTCTGCAAGACCTCAGTACCTCATCACTGTAAGGGAAAGTTCACACTTTAAATCCTAACTAAACTGTCCGCATCCTGCTGCCAAAGAGGATATTTGTACTTGGCTGCAATACTCATGGGCAGGATGAAAGCAGTCTCCACGCACATATACTCTTGGCCTACTTCAGCTGTTCCACAGATTCCAATAAAAAATCCCTGTCTGCATAACTGTGATCTACACTGGACCAAGTCTAGCATACATAGAAGCAAAATACTGAAGAGTTTTTGTGTCTATATTAATCTGATCAGGTTTTAGCTCCCAATCTGTACGTGACTATCGTATGGAACGCTTTAAAACCTCAGTGTCCTGTACAGTTTCCACTGTACTCTCTTTTGAAGTATACTTGCAAACAATTTGGCACTATTAAAATTGTTTAACTGAGTACAACTGCAACACCCAGACAACTGGATTCACAAGCAGAAGGCAAGTTTTTTTTTGGTGTTTAATAAAAAATAAAAATAAAAAACAGCATAACGGAAGTTCTTGTGCTCATATAGACTGCCTGTCCTTACCAAAATGTACATCCTAAACTGTCTTACAAAGTGTCCCTAAGAAAAGAGGACTATGTTAACAGTGTACCTTGTATCTCGTCCTTGGAGGGCATGGCTACACATCATCATCAGTTCAGCTAGTAACTGTATAGTACAACTGTTTCATTACTTTGAAAAATAGAACTACACATTTTGGCTTGCAAAATGTTGAAAAAAGAGTAGAACAAAAATTGTACCCCAATGAAACAATTTATTCACATATTTTTACTAAGGATGAAAATGAAAAAAGTGTGCATTAGCTTACTCACCTGTCATTAAAAGTTTGCCCTGATGTATGAATAAAAATACTGTACTAACTAAAAATGAAGTATATATGTTACATTGAATAAAGACCTATTTTTTTTGATGGTGAAAATGCATAAAACAGTCAAGCATAACATTAAATGCATCAAGAGAAAACTATTGCTTTCTAGACACCCTTCTCTGGATCTTGCCATGACTAGAGGAACAGAGGAACTTCAAGTGCCAAATCAACTGCAATAGTGTCTTGATATTGGCAGCGTTATCTACAAGAAGCATAGAGAAGCATGTGGACTACTAACACAGGCAGATAATATTATGGAAGAAACATCTGGAGTAAGTATTGCAAATTAGGTTCCTACAGTTCTATCTGAAGTTTACAGACATACAGTTTAAGCCCCTTTTGGTTAGGCATATCAGGTTTTATTTTTCTTGAACAGTACTTGAGTGATGGATAGACATTTTTTAAAGGCCAGAATATACCTCTGGCTCCCTAACCCAAACTTTTGCCAGTTCCTTTGCCTGGCTTCCATGTTCAATATTTCTAGAGCATGTGTTTTCTTGCTTTCTTCCAGCTCCCACACCCAGCCATCTGTGGCTGGCACAGAAAATGACAGCTGAAGTTTGAATCTTTCAAAATCTAAAATGAGAGGAGGAGTTTGGATACTTAGCTTCTGCAAGGTGAACTACACAAACCTGTACTACAGTTGCTATCCTGTAGTAACTGCCCATGCCTCTGGTTTTGCTGGAATGAGCTTTTTCACCACTACCACTTTGGTGTATGCCTACTGGATTCAGAGCAATTGGCTGCTGCAAGTACAAGGTTTGCAGAAAACACTCAAATGTGCAAAGCCTTAGGCTCTTAAAATCTATTGGCTGGGGTTGGATGACGGTTGAGTTTATAGCATTTGCTTTAGATTTCAATTGTTTCAATGAAATAATATGCAATTATCTAGAGAAATACATCATACTTTTAGAAACTGGCAGTGTCTCAGATAAACGCAAAACTTAAAACAAATTTTATACATTACAACAGTGGCAGAAAGGAAGGATTACACAGACACTTTCTTGTTCCTATTTAGGCTGCACCTCTTTCTGGCTAACAAGAATTTCTCACTCCCATTAGTACATACACTAAAACCTCCTCTACAGATAGATACATCCTGAGAATAAGCCATACCAATACAATGCATCCATTTTCAAAAAGCCACAGGCCTACTGAAACCTGATATAGTAAAACTGACTCATCCCAGTTCACAAGCAGGACTTGTCAGAACATTTGTCAACTATCAAAAGCTACCAATTTAGTACTACAATTTACGGAAACCACAATTTCTTTTGAAGTGAATGGAGTCGTAGGTGACTCTCTTCTGAGAGGAACAGAGGGTCCGATATGTCGGCCTGACCCTACCCGTAGGGTGGTGTGCTGCCTTCCTGCGGCCCGGGTCAGGGATATTTCTAGAAAACTCCCCAGCCTTATCCGCCCCTCTGATTATTACCCTCTATTGATAGTTCAGGCTGGCAGTGATGAGATCCCTGTTAGAAGCCTGAGGATTATAAAAAATGATTTTAGGAGACTGGGGAAGTTAGTTGATGGAGCGGGCACACAAGTGGTGTTTGCCAGTATTCCCTTGGTGGCAGGGACGAGCGCTGAGACGACCAGGAAAAGCCATCTTGTAAATGCATGGCTGAGAGGCTGGTGCAAGCACAAGAATTTTGGGTTCTTTGATCATGGGGTGGTCTACTCAGCATCTGGCCTGAGGTCTGCTGATGGGAATTGTCTGTCTCCAAAAGGGAGACGGATACTTGCCCAGGAGCTGGCGGGACTTGTAGAGAGGGCTTTAAACTAGATAGGAAGGGGGAGGGGGATAAAGCTAGGCATGCTAGAGAGCAGCCTGGGGAAGTGGTATTGGGATTAGGTGAGAGGCAAGGGGCTTAGCTGAGGTGCGTCTACACTAATGCACGCAGCATGGGCAACAAACAAGAAGAGTTGGAAGCCATTGTGCAGCAGGCAAACTATGACCTAGTTGCTATAACGGAAACGTGGTGGGATTGCTCCCACGATTGGAGTGCTGCAATGGATGGCTACAAACTCTTCAGGAAAGATAGGCAAGGAAGGCGGGGTGGCGGTGTGGCTCTCTATGTTAGGGAATGCTTTTATGCTACTGAGGTTATGACCGGGGACGATAACGTTGAATCCTTATGGTTAAAGATCAGAGGAAGGGCTGACAAGACAGGCACCCTGGTGGGCGTCTGTTATAGACCTCCAAATCAGGATGAAGAGACAGATGAGGTATTCTATAAGCAGCTGGCACAAGCTGCACAGTCGCCTGCCCTTGTCCTCATGGGGGACTTTAACTTCCCTGACATATGCTGGGAGTACAGCACAGCACAGAGGAAGCAGTCTAGGAGGTTTCTGGAATGCGTAGAGGACAACTTCCTGATACAGCTGGTCAGAGAGCCCACGAGAGGAACTGCCCCACTAGACCTGCTGTTCACAAACAGGGAAGGTTTGGTGGGAGATGTGGAGGTTGGAGGCTGTCTTGGGCAGAGTGATCATGAAATGATAGACTTCGTGATTCATGGTGGAGCCTGGAGGGGGAATAGTAAAATTGCTACCTTGGACTTCAGGAGGGCGGACTTTGAATTGTTCAGGGGACTAATAAGGGGAGTCCCCTGGCATTCAGTCTTAGCGAGTAAGGGGGTCCAAGAGAGCTGGTTGCTCTTCAAGAAGGAAGTCTTAAGGGCGCAGGAGCAGGCAGTCCCCCTGAGCTGCAAAATGAGTCGGCGGGGAAGAAGACCGGCGTGGATGAATAGGGAACTGTTCCTGAGGCTCCGG